TGGTCTGAACGCGTCTTTAGACAGATGTTCATTGACAAACACTCGACTACAACCCTCTGCAGTTTCTGATTCCTAATCACAAATCCAATTATTCATTTTTATTTGTTTGCCTGTATTTAAGGACTGTTGTGGTTGGCAGTAGCCTGGTTTTACCATACCCTTGTACTTGTTTCGTACAGAGGGTCTGGACTCTCTCAATTGAGCTCCGTTTACAAGTGGGAGGGGTGAACTTTGTTTAAAGTTTGAAACGATTGGATCTGATTTTATCCAATCACTAGCGTTTGGTTGTGACGTATGTTATGCGCCCGAGTGAGTGACGCAAGCTATCATAACTCTTGGGGGCAGCCTTGTGCATTCCTGCATACAGCATGCCGGAAATTTCAAGAAGAAGAAGAAGAAGTGACGCTTACAGGAAGTTGTATCCGAGAGAGAAATGCGGGTTTGGAGACGAAGATGGCTGTGAACGATAGCTGCAGGCTTTGCGAGACAAATTTAAGAGTTGGTGGAGTTATTGGAAACAGCAAATTAGTATTCGAAAAGAAGGAAGACAATATAGCATCGCAGTTGCTAAAGCTCGGTTTGATAATTGACAAGACACCGCTTCGTTCTTACCAAGTCTGCCGGAAATGCTGCAATACTATCTCGAGGCTACTGCACGATAATGAAGTGTTGCAGAAATGGAAAGTGGCGGAGACGGCAGTTGCTGCTTCTAGCTCTATCGACAAAAGAGACCGGGAGCTATCGTATAAAAAAATGACGTGTTCAAAATCCCTTATAAAGATGACCAGGATTCAGAAAGTTAAATTAAAAAAAAGTTTATTTCCCTAATACAGAGGAATCTAAACAGCGGCCTGGACCAAAAATACCTATCCCTTATTCTCTATATCAGCCATTCCCAAACTCAGTAACACCGAGGCCCCCTTAAAAATCTGACGGGTCTGCGTGGCCCCCCAAAAAAATAACCAAGAAGACAACATTAAGAATAGGCTCTTCTGGTTATTTTATTTTGGGGAAATAGCCTCTGCTACAAACATCGTAATACAAAAATGATTACAGTGGATTATTCAAGTCAAATAATGAACACAAATATTTTAATATTACAAACAAAACATTATAAATTTAACATTAAATAATTATATATTTTTTTTATGCCCTCCCGCGGCCCCCCTGCAGTACCCTCGCGGCCCACCAGGGGGCCGCGGACCCCACTTTGGGAGACACTGCTCTATATAAAGTATAACATTGGTGGGTGCTCCACCAAGTTACACTGCTATCCCTGGTCCAGACTGAAAACTAACACATCAAGCCTAATCATATAAGTAAAAAATGTGCAGGTAGAAGGGGCGTGTCGCATCAGGCAGCTCCCGGTCCCGGGTCCGGCCTTTCCATCAGGTCTCCTCCTCCGCATCTCATTCCACACCTAAAAAGGAATTCACACTTCCAACCTATAGATTTATTCCTTCCTTGAGATAAGGAAGAACTCTCAATGCAGCTGTCACTGGTCTGGGATCTGGGGGTCTGGGGTCTGGTCTCCCTTAATTAGTCCAACAGCTGCTTCCTAAAAAATAAACCTATAGAGTACAAAAACCTCAAATCACACTAACAACATAGTATCAAAGTGTTAGTACAGGAAATCACCCAAAATATAAAGTAAATATATGTTAAGAAAGGTTATGTGTATTATCATATCAACAAATGTGTAGACTAGCAGACTCTAGCCAAGTCAACCAATTCATGATTGAGTGTGGTGAAGAATGCCGAACTCCCTCAGCCCCCAAGCAAAAGCGAAAGACTAGAAGAAGAACAAACAAGCAGAAACCATCTGTTGAGTTAATCCCACACAAGAAGACACCTCGATGGATGGGAGGACTGTCCTCCAACCCAGAGTTCGATAGGTCATATTGACACATGTGTTTTTGTGTGTCAGCGTATTTATATAAATACAACAGAGCCCACCCCTTCCAAAACACCAAGACGGGTGAAGAAATCCAGAAGATCAACTGATTTGCCATTGCCAACAAGGAGCTGTGTGACCGAGGTAGGGAAAGTAACGAAACGCAATAAATTGTTTGTCAGTGTCTGCCAGTCTGATGGCTGTTTTGTGTATTACAGTCAAGCATCCTCCATAAATTGGTAAACAATAGCGTAATTTAAGTTAAGTAATTATATCGCTGATGTAAGATAACCTCTACAGTGCAACTTTTCCCCTCCCCCTCATGGCAAAATCAAAGTTGTGTGAACTGCTAGTTTCTGCCTCTAGTAGGCTAAGGCAGTAGGCAGTCCTGGCTACTTGCACTGATTAGGTTTATTTACACTCCCAACACTTTTACAGTAGTCGCACATAATGCTAACGTAATAAAAAATAAATGAATAAACTTGATCAAAAAGGTGTATCTCATGTGCAATGATATGTATACAATAATAGTCGCAGTATAGGTACGGTGGAGACAATATTGTACAGCAGAGTAGCCAAACATGTTGTTCCAAACATCCTTGAGGACCTGTCCTTATCAAGTGAGTTAGTTAACTGTATTTATGTATATGTTCATTATGTTTTTAAACCCACAATTTCAATTTGAGTCTTTTTATTTTCCTAAAGACATTGCAACATGCACCGCCACAGAGACCACCACGACAACAAGCACTGCCACAAGCAAGGACGTGGATGCCCTGGACATATTCACTTTTAGTGGACTGTCAAATGAAGACCTGGCTGATTTGGGTGTTGCTCCATTGTCTCCTACAGCCTATCCAACCTCTCCAACACCTCCAACGTACTCTATAATATTTGACAATCTGGACTTTTACATGCAGACACATCATCAGTCCATCAGTCACACAAACAAGTCCATACACTGGATCAATCACATGTGTGTCATCGACAGAGTCAACTCACTCCAAATGGACAAACATAAACCAGCAAATACTTCGAGCAGTTATGATATCGGGCAGTCGCTCCCTGGACCTGACACGCAAGACAGTTTGCGAATAGAATATATTGTGTTGGGAAGCCGTATCCTGACACATTACTTGGAGGCATTCAAGACCTTATCGAGTGTAGTTGTTCACCACATCCCCCACAAGTTCTCTGAAGAGATGGCCCGGCCCTCAACACATGTATGTTTCAGACTTCTTCCTCTATCAAATTAAACTAATTATTGTGTATTATCATAATGCAAATTGTAGATTAAATGCATGTCCGATTACTTCAGGATATTGTTTTGCTCGCTGACCCTTTGTTTAGCATTGCATTTTTCAACTACAGTACCCACTTGGACTTGGGTTAGGGTTAGGGTTGGACTTTTCAGCGAGAGTAAATATCAATGTTATTCAATATTAGCTTCCTCAGTTCCCCAAAAAATATTTGGAGTTATTCATTGATTTAAGGTGCAGGATTTATAAAGTTAAGCTTTTCTTCTGAGCGTACTGTAAATGCATGTAAGAAAAGGTGATTTTGGTAAATTGATAATTCAACCCTTTTTCTCTTTAGGTATGTGCCAAGATGCCCTAATGGACTGCACAAGATTTTGGTCGGGGGTGACCGACTTACGGAGGGAAATTGCTGGAATGCACAGTTGATGTTTGCAGAAGGAGTGAGTGAGGAGGAACGTCTGGAGGGGCTTGTTTTTAAATTTGAAGACTGGCATGCCATCCGTAATCTCTTTGAGGTTTGTATGCTATTCATGAACTACAAGCGCAATCTTACACTTGCAGTAATTAAGAAAAAATTGACATTCAGTTGTAGCTTTTATGCTATTAATGCTGTCTGTTTTGTTTTCTTACAACTTTTTCAAAGACTATTTGATTTTAATATTTGTCACAGATATATCATCACATCTTCTTCAAAGAAGCATCTGCAAAAGACCATAGTACACTCCTCGCCAACATGAATCTCTTGAGGTACTTAATCACTAAAGATCAGAATTTTAATGTTTTCAGATTCATGTTCATTCCCGTTTATTAAACTGTTCTCTCTCTCTCTGCATGTTTCTCAAGGAGTGTAACCTTAAGATGATCTTCGCCAACCATGACGTTGGCGTGGATGTATGAACTGTGTGCATGTCCAAGAAAGCATAGCCACCATGAATTCGGCTGCTTTCCATCGGGGCCGTAAAGGGAAAGGGGTTAGTACCAGAAACTACTTAGCCTGGCCTTAGCCATCCGTAAACTCAGATCAATTATCTGAGTACGAGGGTATGGTGAGACCAGGCTAGTAAGTTCTGGTAATACTATGTAACGCCTTCATGAATTACTGGAAATTGCATTGCTGCAAACAGGTGAGGGGTCATTTGAGTGTCAAGAATTTGCATAAAGCACATGTAACATAATAATGAGATTCAATGACTTCATGAGTTTTTAACAGACAGTATAATAATGATGGACTAACTGTAGCCTACTACTTCTTGAAATCATAATGAACTGGGGACTGGCGCCAGAATTACTTTTCTTAAATTGAACTTAACACGTTAACTTTTTGGCTCATTATTGGACACAGACTTCATTATTTCCTTCACGTGTTTGTTAAAAACATGCTCTACATTGTCCACATTTTTTTTATGTTGGTATGTTTTTATCTTTGCCCTATTACTGATAATGGAGCTGACTCAAAAACCTACACTGCTAGCACAGCTGAGCTTCGTTAGCCCGCTCTATGGTTGTAACATACACGAATTGATACACATTTGATTTGACACATACATGAATTAATTTTACTTTATTTTGATGTATGTGCATGCGTGTGTCTGTGTGTTTTAGTTTAAATTGCACATTTTGTGTCTGGTTAAACACAATTTCCATCCTATGTGTAATGCTTGTTACATAGTGAATAGATATTACTTTAGACTTTCCAAATGAAATATTTCAGGTTTTTCATTGTTATAACTGCCTTTACTGCCTTTACTTACAGGTGCAGCAATGCCAAAAAAGGTCCACATAAGGCTTACAATGCATACAAACAGTTTGTGCAGATCGACACAACTGCACTTTTTCTGGCAGCAGCTATGGAACATTTCCAGTTGGGTGATGTCACAGGTTTGTATGTTAAAATGTTTTGAAGTATCTGATTATTGTTTTTGTTTATACTGTTATAAAGTACTAAAAATATATTTCCAATAATTAACACTTCATGCACAATTAATTAACAAGTCATATTTTATAGCATTAACATTGTTTTTTCACCAAGAATCGTGGTCTTGGTCTTCACCCTCTTTCCATTACATTTTCAGGCCTTTTATCTATGGAATCTGTCTTTTTGTTGGTTTGTTTATGATCAACTTTTATACTACAGAGAATGTTTTTGTATTCTTTTTAGATGAAAACTAACATTTCAGTGTCGCCCCGTGGATTTGATTAAGGTTTAGAACATCAGGAAACCGCCATACACTTTAAACTAAACTGGATCCTCAAGATTGATCAAACAAAATGTTTTCGGACTGATGAGAGGATGCTAGCTTTGTTTGGACCAGGACAAGGTGCATTTAGGAGAAGGGGCCTTTAGCTAGGACTGCACCGGGCCTAAAGATCCAGCTCAGATACCAGGGAAGTGGGTCCTGGTGTGGGCTGGTATTAGATACCAACCCCAGATGAGTTACATAGATCATTTTTAATTGAAAATCAACCTCAAACTAAGCTGCCAAACCTACTGGTTTTGGAAGACACTCCTAAAGCAGTGGGACAGGATACTCTGCATCTTTCAGGAAAACCTATGATTTCATTCAGATCGATGCTCCATCTCAAGCATCAGTCCTGACTCCTCAGCTGGTCTAAATCCAAATTGTATATACTAGGCGACACCAAAATGACAAAATTCCTAAAAAGTAAATTAAATCATTCTCTGCAAAGTGTCAACAGGCTGTGGTCCCTTAAGTTGATAATAAACAAAATGCAAATTGTCAGGAAAAAAGGTCTGAAAGTGTTATGGGATAGCCTGGCCTTTGCCATCCGTAAACTCCGGTCAAATCTTTTTTCCTGGGATGTACAAGTACGAGGGTATGGTAAAACCAGGCTAGTTATGGGAGGATAAGTGTGTGAAAACGTGTGTGTACCTGTATATACATATATACATACGCACACACACACAAATGGATAACTGAGATGGCTAATTTCTTGTTTTTCATTTAGTTGCATCATCATTTATTATAATAGATATTTTCAAATATTTTTTAAATAAAGTGAAAACATGGCTAAAGGCAATGCATATTATGTTTTACGAATATTTTGAGTGGACCAAGACCACTATTTTTGTTGAAATATCTATTTTAATGCTTAAAATTATGACTTGCTTAATAATTTGGCACTCCGTGCGTATTGTATCATTTGTTCATAGACACTACTGACAGAGTTGTGCCAGACCATGTTCGACAGGGCACTGAAGAGCAGAGAAGGACCTGGCTACATGACTCCATGGCTGAGGTTGCGGACAAATTCCTGACCTTCACAAACACTTTTGACCTGTCAGCTGCAGTGACTGATGCTGCCCAACGCACTGGCAAGGAGAAGCTTCCTTGTCGTCAGCCTGGTTGCCCAAGAGTGTACGTAAACAAAAAGAGCAGAGAGACCCATGAACAGAAAGTCCACCATCTTGTTGTGGCACCTGTTCCACCTGCCAAGCCTGCTTCCGCAAGTCTGATGGACTACAAAAAACAGCATGCAGAGGCAAGGCTTTACTTTGGTTTTCTGATTTTGGATATGTTGGATGCTGTGAAAGAGGGAGATGGGGAGCGCTTGATTCGGCTTTACAAGGTGGCTCTACTCATTTATAAAGCTTACGGACATACTAAATATGCCTATAGTACTTTACTTTTAACTGTCCAACTTAATTCCACTTTGTCCCCTCGGATTGCACATGACATTATGTGGAATAGATTCTGGAATAGCAAGGGTGGCAAAGGCATGAACATACCCCTGGATCTCCATCTGGAACACCTGAACAACTTCCTTAAGTCGTATTTGAGGAATAAAGGCAGCAACCTGACAGAGGACACGGCTACCAGGGTCAGCAAATCTGTTGGCGTGTTAAAAACAATGATGGACAAAGCAGACAGAGAGCTGCAGCTATCCCGGCCCAGTGGTACCCACCTTGCAGCTGATGTTCACAGGGATGTTTTAACCTTGCTTGAGGTGTTCCGGAAGACAGAAGTTTTCAAGGAACAACCAGGAAGACACTTTTCCGCATTCCCTGTCTTCAATAGCAACATTCTGTCCAAGCTAGATTGGGAAGTCCTATATCAATGGATGCGTGCAAAGCTAAAGGAATGGAGGTCTTTAGCACTGTAATAATTGAAATTCAAGGTTTACACTGTAAACCAATGTAAATCTCAGGCTTGCTTGAACTATGTCACATGTATATAGATGTTGTACATACACATTAGTTAAATAAAAAATCTACAGTACACTACAGTATATTTTGTATGTCTTTCCTAGTTAACCTTTCTACAGAAGCCATAGACATGTATCTTGTTATATACTTGAATTAAGATCCTACAAACATGTTTTGAAGAAAATAATCAGGTCAGTTTAATTAAAAAATAATTAAAGGACAGTTTTGGGTTGTAGAAATGTACAAATGAGAAACTTTTCCAAAAATATGCACAATGAGTAACCAATGATGTGAACACACAGAAGTAAATGAAATTCTCAACACTCATTGAAATTACTGCTCTGACTCTGAGCTACTAACATGGCTCCTGAGTTCATCATCATCATCATCAGCAGTGTCAAAATAGCCACTGTAATAAAGATCTGGCGCAGTGTAACCCCCCCCTGAATCGGACGGCTGTTCTGCATCCACATCTCCAAACACATCACTTATGATATTTAAAATCTCCTTGGCATGCTCCAATCTGAAGATAGGAATGTTGGCAATGATGTATGACAGGTCAAATATAAACTGAGAATGGTTCAATACACAGTCCACCAGACCACTGGATTTCATTTCATTTTTTCATTTCATTTGTTTATTTCTTTCGAGCCCATAACATTACACATTTGTTTACACAACAATCATCCCACAACATTGCACAAGAACAGAACATGATTCACTAATGCTCCTGTGCCCTGAAGAAAAATAAAAAAAAATAAAACATAAAATCACCTATTACATATTCACATAGGCCTTGTTGTTCATAAGCGCACTCCAAGAGCTCGAAAATGGAGTGGGAAGAAGAAAAAACGTATAAACTCCCACCCCATGTATATTATGATAAATCATAATGTTTCATAAAAATAATGGATTCAGTTGACTGAATCCAGTGCACAATTCAGGTGAGGTGAAGAGCCGAGTAGATGGAGTGATTAGGCTGGCTCTGTATCCATTCAGTAAATATGCAATCAAAGACTTGTCCTCTGCAGTCACGTGCCTAGATCTCAAGTTAACCGGCTTGCCCTGAATCTGTTCATAATCTGGGGTGGGTTCTTTGCATGTGCCAAATGAACAAGAACAAACAGTATGACAGTAAGTGCAACATAGATGGCCTGGTTCTACAAGGCTGGGTTCAGCCTCAAAATGTGAGAAAATAATTTTCCTGAAACATGTATTGCGAAGAGCAAGCACTTCTTTTACCTCTTCTTCAGTCTTATAATTCTTTCCAGTGTTGTATATGATGCCATGAGCTGGCTGACCATTTCTTCCAGCCCTCCCCACCTGTTGTATTATGGACTCTAGGTCCCCTGGAACACCATACATCACCACAAGTGAAACATTAGGGAAATTCAGGCCCATTCTCAAAGCTGTTGTTGCAACTAGTACACGGCAATTCCCTTGCCCCCCCAGTGAAGCCAACACTCTGTCCTTGTTTTGGGGGAGGGACTTGCTGTGAAACATACCTATCAGGAGGTTCTCACGTTTATGCTCTTGATCACAGTCTACCCAGGAGTACTGTTGCAGTTCCCCCTTGAAGTAAGAAAAGACCCTCCCCACTGTTGTCATTTTTTGACAGTAAATAAGTACAGGCTGCATGGTTGAGCCCTTGTCCTTTACATGTTGCACAATCCAGTCTAAGCAGTTCAGTTCATTTCTGGGCACCTTGCGCAATCCAAGACGGATGTTGTTCTTGTTAGGGCTAGCGATGATGTGAACGGCACTGTCCATATGAAGTAGTCTAGTGACTCGGTTTCTGGATTTGATGTCAGCAGAGGCAGTCAACGCCAAGAAAGGTGTACCTGTCAGACAAATTTACAAAATTAATATATGAGGGGCGACAGTAGCTCAGTTGGTAGAGCATTGGCCTTCAGGCCTGAAGGTTGTGGGTTCATTTCCCACCTCTACACCTTCTCCACCGACTCCCACTGATGACTGCTGTCGTTGTGTCCTTGGGCAAGACACTTAACCCCACTTTGCCCAAAGCCCCCACTGATAGATCAAGGCTATGCTCACACTCAGAGAGCAGCCTCCTGTGGACTCACCACCTGCAGAGGGTCAGTGAGGGGCTGGTGCTATGAGACTTGGGTGGCATCTCTGATTGCCACCCCCCTGACCCAGAAATGGATTAAAGGGTAGAAAATGGAAATGGAAAAATGGTATTACTAATATGACATGTATTGATGACAGTGTGTATTTGTGTGTGGTTCTTCTGCCTGTGTCTTGCTCTATAACACTACCTGCAGTGCATGTTCTGTGGTGTCTGACTTAAGATAACACTTTATTGTTCTCACAATGGAGAAATGTACTCGTTACAACAACTCTTAAAAAAAGAAATCATAATTGTAAAATAAATGTCCCTTAGAATCTACCTATAAAAAAAATGTATAAACTGAAAACTACACTTGCACAGTGGGGTTGCCGGGGGCTGAGAGTTGGCTACATAGTGGTTATTCTTACCAGTTTGATCTTTTTCTGGAACTATAAGATTGCAGCATTTTTCATGTCTCTTACTGCATGTTTTTTAACTTCCTTTTACTGAATGCACAGTACGTTTAGTACTGTACAGTCGAGTGTGTACTAACGTTACTCTTAACAACAATGCACTGAATCCAGGGCACGGATTTGTTAACATGTCAAGCAGGAACAACACAGAAGACATTCAACCCACCTTCCTTCATGATGGATCTCAGCTCACCAAGTTTAGAAAAACTCTCTCGGAATGGTGACTCGCCTTTGGACGCTTCACCCCTGAGACAAAAGAAACGGAATGCAAAATTGTCATCAAGCAACAATAGTCTACCCGATTGAGTATGCAAAAAAGCCTAATTTCTGCTGTTTTAAAGTTCACTTACCATTTATATGTAACATGGACTTCATCAACGACGATGCCAATGATGTTGTCTTGGTAAACAGACGAGGTTAGCATTCGTCGCCATTTGGAGTTGAGTAGCCAAGACTCAGGGCTCCCAAATACCAGGCTGAAATGTCCTTCCAAAATGTCACGATCGTCGTGCACATCGAGCTGTCCAGCACTCACTCCCAACTTCTCAGCCTCCTTGACTTGATCCTCCATTAAAGCCAAAAGAGGGGAAACGACTACAACGATAGGATTAGCTTCACTAGCATTCAGCCTAGCCATCTCCTTCACCACTAACGGAGCTAACTGGAAAATAAGGCTTTTGCCGAATCCCGTGGGGAGTAAAGCCATGACATCTTTACCAGCAATGAAATTTGCTAAACATTTCTCTTGCTCAGACTTCAATTTCTGGATATTTGGGAGCAAAGCCAGAATGGATTGAAGAGCTTTGTTTATTTTCGCATATGCCGCCATTGCCAAACTACAGTGACTACAACCGGCGCAAATGCTTGACGTCACCTACAACACCCGCCTCCCCCGCTCACTGAATGGTAGGATGAAATTCTACCGATTGAATCGCAGCCAGTGGGAGCAAACCCAGACGTACATCCCGGGAAAAAAGATTTGACCGGAGTTTACGGATGGCAAAGGCCAGGCTAGGTTGGCAGCTGTGTTGTACTGTTTCTCACCTGGTTGTACTGTTTCTCATCTGGTTGTACTGTTTCTCACCTGGTTGTGCTGTTTCTCACCTGGTTGTACTGTTTCTCACCTGGTTGTACTGTTTCTCACCTGGTTGTGCTGTTTCTCACCTGGTTGTACTGTTTCTCACCTGGTTGTGCTGTTTCTCACCTGGTTGTACTGTTTCTCACCTGGTGGTGCGTCCTCCCCCTCCTCTATCTTCTTGTCTTTCTCTAAAATGACTTCCTTCATACTTTGTATTTAGTCTTGCCATATCACTCTGTACTCTGTAATTTTCTATTGCTTTTTTTCTGATTTTGGGGTTTATTTTAAAGTCATGGACCACATATAATGCATACAAAAATTCCGGGCAGCGATCCAATTAGTTTAGGATTACTGTGATGTTCAAATGTATTATTTTTTTATGAAAATGAAGGGGTCCCTGCGGGCTATAGTGCATAATTTACTTTTGAATGTGCTGGAATACGGCTGCAAGTCCTAAGTATCTCTGAAACAGCTTTACTCTTTTTATTTTTCATGATTTTTGTCTACCTGAGATGTTGCTGCAGTACAGTGCTCATGGTTTTGCACTGGTCTAGACCAGAGCAGAGAGGATTCATGGTCCGAACCAAGTGGATCCGGCAAAAATCCACAGGAGGAAGGCTCACATTTACTTTGGACTAGAGCAGAGAAAATGGTCTGAACCAAGCAGCTTCTCCACCTCTGTCATTGTGAACCGAAGTGCTATTGCGTAATATTACTATTGTGATCTTTTTAGAATGATTTATTTTATTTTTTTATTTTTGCTGCTGCTGGTTCCCTGAATTTCTCCTATGAGGATTAATAAAGTGTCTTTCTATCCATCTAATATATTCCAGGTCACTGTGACATGCAGCATTCAAGATTCATCAAAGTTTTAGAATACCTGTCGTGCAAAGACAAGCTAATGCACAAATGTTGGCACCTGATGTAATTATGAGGTGTGAGGAGGTTGGGCTCAGATCCAGAGCCACACACAGAGAATGTGTGAACTTTTGTGAACTCTAGTCCTTCTTAGACCCTGCTGTCAAAGCAGCAGGGTCTTGGAGCTCCCTCTGTGAGAGAGAGCAGTTCACTGGAAACAGTTTAAACTCAGCCTGAAGACATGGCTGCAGGGGTGCAATAGTTAAGAATGTTCTGAATACCTCTTACCCCTGCTCCTCTAGGCTTACGTCACTCACATTTCCTGTTCAAATCTTCCTCCAAATGGGCGTAGCCTGGAGGACTAAAGGGGAGAGGCGGGGGGGACAATAAAAGCAATAGTGACTAAAACTACAATATTCAACAACAACGCTATTAACACTACACAATTATCAATAATACAAACAGCTATGTTTGTATTATTATATGAGGCGACAGTAGCTCAGTTGGTAGAGCATTGGCCTTTGTGCCTGAAGGTCGTGGGTTCAAGCCCACCATAAGACCTACTTCACGACTCCCACTGATGACTGCTGTCGTTGTGTCCTTGGGCAAGCCACTTAACCCCACTTTCCCTGAAGCCCCCACTGAAAGATCTCAGCTCCTGTGGACTCACCACCTGCAGGAGGATCAGTGAGGGGCTGGTGCTCTGTGTACTGTGTGCAGCTCTGACTGCCACCCCCCGACCCAGAAATGGATTAAGGGGAAGAAAATGGATGGATGGATGGATGGACAAACAGCTATGCTGATAAAAACCTACCTAAATGCTATAACTAATCGCAAACCTGACAATCGATGAAAATACTCTCTGCTATTCCTTCCTTCCTTTTCTAGGGGGCGTGAACAAGACTGGGCCGTTCACGCCCACTGGGCGGCAGGGCAACTGACGTCAGGTATTACCACAGACGTCAGCCTTCACTGCAGACGTCAAGTATCACCGCAGACGTCAGGTATCACTGCAGACGTCAAGTATCACTGTAGACGTCAAGTATCACCGCAGACGTCAAGTATCACCGCAGACGTCAGCCTTCAATGCAGACGTCAGGTATCACTGCAGACGTCAGGTATCACTGTAGACGTCAAGTATCACCGCAGACGTCAGCCTTCAATGCAGACGTCAGGTATCACTGCAGACGTCAGGTATCACTGCAGACGTCAGGTATCACTGCAGACGTCAGGTATCACTGCAGACGTCAGGTATCACTGCAGACGTCAGGTATCACTGTAGACGTCAGGTATCACTGCAGACGTCAGGTATCACTGCAGACGTCAGGTATCACTGCAGACGTCAGGTATCACTGCAGACGTCAGGTATCACTGTAGACGTCAGGTATCACTGTAGACGTCAGGTATCACTGCAGACGTCAGGTATCACTGTAGACGTCAGGTATCACTGCAGACGTCAGCCTTCAATGCAGACGTCAGGTATCACTGCAGACGTCAGGTATCACTGTAGACGTCAAGTATCACCGCAGACGTCAGCCTTCAATGCAGACGTCAGGTATCACTGCAGACGTCAGGTATCACTGCAGACGTCAGGTATCACTGCAGACGTCAGGTATCACTGTAGACGTCAGGTATCACTGCAGACGTCAGCCTTCAATGCAGACGTCAGGTATCACTGCAGACGTCAGGTATCACTGCAGACGTCAGGTATCACTGCAGATGTCAGGTATCACGGCCGACGTCAGGTATAACCGCAGACGTCAAGTAGTAAGTAATCTTTATTTATATACCGCCTTTTCGCTTCAGATCAGAGTTTCAAAGTGGTTTACAATTGTTGTTTTTGGACATTTTGTCCTCTCACTCCACACAGAGATGGGAGCGGGGGCGCCAGTGCAGTAGGCGCATGCCGGATCTATTGCACATGTTTTTAGTGGTAGGGGAAACCGGAGTACCCGAGGAAACCTACGCAAACACGGGGAGAACATGCAAACTCCACTCAGAAAAATTCATTTATTTGACATTTGCAGTAAAACCACATTGGAAAAACTGAAAAAGCCCTGGTCCAACCGGGATTCGAACCCAGGACCTTCTTGCTGAGAGGCAAGAGTGCTATCCACTCAGCCACCACCCAAGTATCACCACAGACGTGATGTCAGATGGAAGCTTTGGGAAAATCTACCATACAGCAATAACACATAAACAACAAAAAGCTAGAATTGAGGAACACGAGATAGCACAGATTTCAAACTCATTATGAAGTTTAAGTGTCTCCATTCACCTCAGCTCAATGTGTCCTGTGGCTATGAAATATATGTATGTAACTTATGACTGAGAAAGAATGTGCAGCAGATATGTGCGGAAAATCACATAATATCTGTTTATGTGCATAGAATCATGAAAATGCTTTGTGCCCATTAATATTGGCATAATGAATGTATATTCTTTGTTATACAGTGGGGTAAAAGTATTTCATCAGCTACCAAGTCATCCCACTTAAAAAGATGGCTGTAATTTTCGTCTTAGACTGAGGTACAAAATTAGCATTTAAATGTTTTTTATCTGACTATCGAGATATTATCTGACTTTTGAAAAAGAGGATTGTGGATAAGAAGTCTTTCCCAAAATGTTGGTATACATCCTGTGTTGATAACGACAGAGGTCAAACTGTTTCTCTAAATCTTTTTCACTGTTGCTGGTATTTTGGGCCATTCTTCCTGTTGTGGCTGGACAACACAGACTTTCAAGTCCCTCCAGACTTTCGAGGGGGTTAAGATATGGAGACTGGGGCCGCACCAGGACCTTGAAATGCTTCTTAAGAAGTCACTCTTTTGTTGACGTGTGTTTGGGATCATCTGAAAGACCCTGCATTGTTTCATCTTCAAGGCCTTCTCTCCAAATCCCACGACACATTCTTAACCATGTCTCAATCATCCTGGTCTCTGCTGCTGGATGACCATAAAAAAAAGGAGTTACACGTGTTAATCAGTGGACCCCTTCCAAATGCAGATGGAAAAATCGAGAAGTTTAGCTGTCTGTACCAGTTAAATACATTTCTACACAATGAGTGACTTGGATTCATTGAAAACTTGAATCTGTTCTAGAATAGGCTTGAGCTTTTTGAAGGGAAAGGCTCACATCTGAACAAATACGGAGTAAAAAAAGCTGTGGCTGCTGCACCACCTACAGCTCCCGTGAAGCCCCCCCCATTGCTCCAGGCTACAGACAGGCCTGCACTGGGGGCCTCTCAACCACCTCCGTCTCCACCAAAGACTCCCTCATCACCTTCCATGGACCCGGTTTGGGTCCCCCCCGGCCACATCCACTCCATCTAAGGAAAATGAGGACGACCTTTCCCTGTGTTTTCCATCACTGTTGGAATTACCAACACCCAAAAGCCACCCACCTCTCCATCCTCCTCCCCCGCCTTCCCCTTCCCCTCTTTTCTCTAAACACTAGGATGCACAGGGTCTCTGCTTCGCAGCCACTGGCAGTCTAGTTAGAGGAGAGACCCGGCTGGGGCCCTGTCATGAAGCCACCTGTGCCATTCCCTTAGTGATAACACAAAGAGTACATAACAGAAAGACATCTGGAGTTAATCAGTCTAATCTGGAAAATCTAATTCTTGTTCTGTGTAAGAATCAGCCAACCACAACCGCTGATCCTGAAACTTTGAAACTTGCTAATTTTATAATGTGCTAATTTCATTTGTTCTCATAATCTTGATCTTATGTTCATGGCTGAAACATGGCTTGACCAAAATACAGGAAATGCAGTTTTAATAGAAGCATCACCACCAAATTTCAAATTTGAATCTGAAATACGGGAAAACAAAAAGGAGGAGGCTTAGCTGCCATTTTCAGAGACCACTTTGTCTCCCATAGAATGTCTCTTGGGAAGTTTCCGTCTTTTGAATATGTGTCTTTTAAAATACAGCAAAAACAATCTCCTCCAATACTTTTCGTTGTCCTATAAAAGCCACCGCAGTCATGTCACAGATTTATTGATATTTTTACCGAGTTGTTTTCAGTTGTATGCACAGATTTTGATAGCTTAGTTATTACAGGTGATTTTGATATTCATGTGGATAATGTTGATGACTGAAATGCAAACGACCTGAGTTCTTTACTTGAAACTTCTGGTCTCACTCAGCACGTGAGTTATGGGAATGATAAACTTTGAAAATGCATCGTATTCTACTGTGGATGAACTGTTTAACTCTGTCACCTCTAGTGTTTTGAATGTTCTGGATACCGTTGCCCCTGCGAAGGTTAAAATAATGAAAAATAAGCAGAAGGCGCCGTGGGCTAAAGCAGACTCGGTCAGAGCACTGAAGAGAAAGTGCCGGAGGGTCGAGCGGAAGTGGCGCAAGTCCAACCTCCAGGTTGATTACAAGATCTTCAAGGATAAGTTGTGCGAGTTTAACCGGGTGCTACGTAGTACGAGAGAAAGGTATTTTTCTGAAATGATTGAAGGCTGCAGCAACAATCTGCGTGTTCTGTTCTCAACAGTTAATAGATTAACAAACCCCCCTGTTCAGATGCCATTAGAGCTTACTTCCAAACGTAAATGCAATGAGTTTGCACACTTTTTCAATGACAAGGTTCAAGGCATCAAAAACGCCATTGTCTCCAATCCACAGATATCCATCCAACAGCCAGAAAGGCTCTCTGAGCTAACTCACTTTGCACCTGTAAATGATAAAACTGTCCAAGAGATAATCTCCAGTTTGAGCTCCTCCACATGCAGCCTGGATGTACTACCCACTAGATTTCTGAAGTCTGTTCTGAGCAGTCTGTTACCTTCACTCACACAGAGAGTAAACATGTCCCTTCATTCTGGAATATTCCCAAAGGCCCTGAAAACTGCAGTCATCAGGCGCCTGCTAAAAAAGAGCAGTCTGGATGCTACGGTACTTAACAACTATCGTTCCATCTCAAATCTGCCATTTATGGGGAAAGTCCTTGAGAAAGTTGTCTACCTACAGCTTACTAGATTTCTTATAATTAACAACTCATTTGATATGTTTCAGTCCGGCTTTAGACCCCACCACAGCACTGAGACTGCTCTCGTCAAGGTTACAAACGATATCCGGCTGAACACTGACGCAGGCAAAGTCTCAATCTTAATCTTGTTAGATCTAAGTGCTGCCTTTGACACCGTCGACCATGAGATCCTCTTACAGAGACTGGAGGACTGGGTTGGCGTCGCTGACCCTAAGTTGGTTTAGGTCTTACCTTGAAGACAGGAAGTACTTTGTGGAGATTGGAAACTGTGTCTCAGATCATATGGCCCTGACCTGTGGAGTCCCACAGGGGTCGATCCTGGGACCTCTTCTGTTCAATCTCTACATGCTGCCGCTAGGTCAGTTAATACGCAGAAACAAAGTTTCCTATCATAACTATGCAGACGACACTCAGATCTATGTCTCACTGACTGCAGGAGAACATGGACCAGTGGACTCACTCCTTCACTGTATCCAACAGATCAGTGAGTGGATGCAAAACAACTTCCTTCAGCTAAACGCAGACAAAACTGAAATGATTGTCTTTGGTCCCCAGAAACAAAGAGAGAGCGTCATCTGTCATCTACAGTCTCTCTCCCTAAAACCTTCAAACAAGGTCAGAAATCTAGGGGTAATACTGGACTCAGACTTAAATTTTAATAGCCACATCAAATCAGTAACATCAGCAGCTTTTTACCATCTAAAAAACATTGCCAGGATCAAAAACATAGTGTCTAAAGCAGACCTGGAGATTCTTATCCATGCATTTGTCTCCAGTAGGTTAGACTACTGCAATGGCCTGCTCACAGGTCTGTCCAAACAGGCTGTAAAACAGCTGCAGTACATTCAAAATGCAGCAGCTCGAGTCCTGACTAGAACCAGGAAGTACGACCACATTAGTCCTGACTAGAACCAGGAAGTACGACCACATTAGTCCTGACTAGGACCAGGAAGTACGACCACATTAGTCCTGACTAGAACCAGGAAGTACGACCACATTAGTCCTGACTAGAACCAGGAAGTACGACCACATTAGTCCTGACTAGAACCAGGAAGTACGACCACATTAGTCCTGACTAGAACCAGGAAGTACGACCACATTAGTCCTGACTAGAACCAGGAAGTACGACCACATTAGTCCTGACTAGAACCAGGAAGTACGACCACATTAGTCCTGACTAGAACCAGGAAGTACGACCACATTAGTCCTGACTAGAACCAGGAAGTACGACCACATTAGTCCTGACTAGAACCAGGAAGTACGACCACATTAGTCCTGACTAGAACCAGGAAGTACGACCACATTAGTCCTGACTAGAACCAGGAAGTATGACCACATTAGTCCAGTCCTCAGGTCTCTGCACTGGCTTCCTGTGGCTCAGAGAATAGATTTTAAAACAGCTTTGCTTGTTACAAGTCTCTACATGGCCTCGCACCAAAATATTTTAGCGACATGTTAGTACCATATGAACCAGCCCGGACTCTGAGGAGCACAGGGACTGGACTCCTGCTGGGACTCTGAGGAGCACAGGGACTGGACTCCTGCTGGGACTCTGAGGAGCACAGGGACTGGACTCCTGCTGGGACTCTGAGGAGCACAGGGACTGGACTCCTGCTGGGACTCTGAGGAGCACAGGGACTGGCCTCCTGCTGGGACTCTGAGGAGCACAGGGACTGGACTCCTGCTGGGACTCTGAGGAGCACAGGGACTGGACTCCTGCTGGGACTCTGAGGAGCACAGGGACTGGA